GTATTCAAAATCTTCTTAATAAAACACTACAGATTAGTCAGCTTGTTTATGATTATTATTTTTACAAGTAGAATAAAATCCTTCCTTTCAGGTTCAAATGGAAACTTTTTCTCATCAGAGAGCTATCACCAACACTGAACAAATTGCATAGGTGGATTACTCACATTTTCCTTTCATTACAGTCACACATTTGTTACTCTCTACTTCCTCCAGCATGTCATGTTTCTCTGACAGCAGAAGAAAAGAGCTCCCAAAAAATCCCAGTCTGTAGACAATGTTTCCCACCCCTGCAAAAAGAGTCTAAGCTGCTTCCCAGTTTGGAAGACAAAGAACTATCCTGAAATAAAAAATATACAAAGAAAGTCAACAAACTGAAATGAGAGATTCACTTTGTTTACTTGCAAGATACCTCATTTAAATTAAATCTCCTTTCAAGTAAACTATTAAAATACTTATTTCTTCAATATCATTTTTGCTGGTAATTTTAAACACATACACCAACCTCCTAGTCCCAAACCTTTTTACAAAATAAATTCTGAATTACCTATATTCTTCAATCAAATAAGCCAGAATCTTGACACTTAAAAGAATGCCTGCACAAAAGTAAAGATACATTTAAACAAAAAGCATGACAATGTATACAGGCAGTAGAAACTAAAACAATTTTCACAATGTCTTTTAAACACAAAAGAATTTTGCCTAAGCTGTACATAAATATTTTGACAAAGTCCTATTAGCTCAATAAACTGAAATGCATAATATATATTCAAATAGCTAATGTCTTTTAGAGATCTTTAACTCAAGACATGATTTGACAAAATGAAGAACTCAATGGCAATAACTTAAGCTGACTCTATCCCTTACTATTTCCTTCCAGAGTTCTTTTACACAAAACAGCAAGAGTCAGGAGGAGGAAAGAGGCAAATAACCGTCCATATAGGAATGGCCACTTAACATCAGCTCACAACCTCAGATGCTTAAGCTGTTACTTCAGTACACAAGAACATATGTCAGGGTCTAATACTGTACTGTGAAGTACAGTGAATCTTCAATTGTGAAAAGATTTTGGCTTTTAAAATGGCTTTATGTAGTGTATCTTTACAAGATAAAATATCTATTGAACTGGATCCACCATACAAATGTTTTACTATAATTATAATTATTCATCACTTCTTTAAACTTTTATTTACCATGTCTTTACGTATCAAAAGCTAAGATAAGGATGTATGACACAAAGGAAGCTTGACTGTGAAGTATTTTTTCCTGAGTGGCAAAATCACAACTAGATAATTCAGTAAATCCTTTATTTATTCCTATGAAAATATCAAGATACTTTTGAAGGCATTTAAGAATATATATATATATATATATATGTTTTCATAACATATCCCATCTCCTTCAGTGATATTGCTGTTTATTTTTGCTAGAGCTTTCTTTAATTTTATTTAAGTAATCAGTACACCACCAGTTGAATTTGGGCATGCCTACTCTGTACCATGAACTATGGAGGAATGGTGCTAAACTATCACTTTCTCAGCTAGTGCCACAACTAGAAAGATCTGTATTTTGAGGCATTATTAACCAGGGCTGCCTATGTGGTTTTCAAAGCAAAATGCAGAGGGGATTTCCCTGCCTCATGAGAACTCTCCAGGTCAGGGCTGAATGAGTCAGCAGCAGGTGAAGTGTTCTACAAACCAGGCACGGCTACAATTTCTTCCATGCTCCCAGCAGTGCTCACCCGCACTTTAGTTCAGGAAGGGAGAATGCAGGGAGGAAGGGGACAGGCTGTTCTCACTGGTGGCCAGCGATAGGACGAGGGGTAATGGCCACAAGCTGAAACACAAGAAGTTCCGTCTCCAGGTGAGGAGGAACTTCTTTACTGTTAGGGTGACAGAGCAGTGGAACAGGCTGCCCAGGGAGGTTGTGGAGTCTCCTTCTCTGGAGGTCTTCAAAACCCGCCTGGATGCCACCCTGTGCCACATGCTCTAGGTGTGCCTGCTTGAGCAGGAAGGTTGGACTAGATGATCTGTAGAGGTCCCTTCCAACCTTAAATATTCTGAAATATTCTGAAATTCTAACAGGGCTTTCGATCTGCAACTGTACTATAGTATCTTATAATGTTGTACATTCCTTTTCTAAGTGCAATTTTAAATGAAGAATTGTAAACCTTATATTCCAGAAAAACAAACAAAAAAATGAGTATATTAATTATGAAGACATGAGCATTCATTGCCTGTACTTAATCTTCTTATTGGAAGAAGTCAACAGCTGAAAGTCTGGCCTGCCCTTTCACTGCTTGCAAAAAAACTGTAAAAACCCTGGATATTCTGGTCAAGAACAACAATGGCAAAATCAGAATGGGGGCTTCCCTCCGTTCTTCAACAAAGCGAGCAACATGAAAAAAGAACAATCTAAAAAGACACAATGTTAGATGTCCTGTTGCTGATACTAACTGCAGTGCAGGCTAGCACGCAACACTGAAATGACTACACCAGCACTCAAAACCTCTGTCAAAGCAGACACCTGTTTTCAGTTGCCAGATCTCTGCAACACGTGATGCTTTTGTATACAGTTACCTTGTCCGAGAAAAACCCACAGTCTTGTTGAAATAAACAGTAGTTTGAACCATTTCTGGAGTGCTACAGCCCACAAACACTAATGGGAACACTAGTCTCACTATTAAACCATGCTTTTCTACAACAACAGACAACAAGTGAGCTGCTCAGATGACACACTGTATCCTATGATAAATACTCCTCCACATTTGACAACAGAGCTGTTATCAATGACAATTAAAAGTTCTCAGGTTTGGATGAGAGTAAATCCTAACTGAAGTTAAATCCAAGAAGAGTAGAGGGTTCTGAACAGATGAAAATACTCTCTTAAGAATCGGCATGGACAAATGTGCAATTTTCTTTCTTGATAGGTGCATACCCATGAACGATCCGTGTGGCTCTGACTTCAGAGTCCTCTTGGATCCCTTACAGAAGGCTAAGGGCTCACTCGGGTATTAATGTTACCAAGTTAGACTCCCTGTAGGCGATTTCAGAGAGAAGCCTTCTCATTTCAAGGAAAAATAACTGTTACTGATTTCTTTGCCAGTTCATGGCTATATTTTATCACTGTGACATATCTCAAAATCAATCTTCCACATCAAAAATCTACAGAAATCTCCTCATCAGCAGAGACTGCTGGAGTAAATCAAACCTCACTGCTGCTCCCTACACAGACTTCCCATGGAATTTCAAACCAAGTTCCCAATTGCTTGAGCTCAGAACATAACCCAGCAGTTGTCCACTGTGTAACACACAGCATTGCTGAGACCCCCAGACTAGTGCAACACGTGCTGTAAACAGTACAAATAAGCACAGTTACTAGCTCAGGCTCTAAAAAAAGGTATAGCTATATTAGCATGTTAGTGAGCCTGAGCTATTACTTCTGTTGAGACTGAAGAGTGCCAAGGTGACTAAGTTGCTTCCAGTTTCAGACCTCAGTCAGTTCGACCTATAGTTCTCAGATGACAAGCTGGGTTTTCCGTCCCCATGTCACCCTGCCCTTGGAAGGCAGAGCTTTGTACTGAGGGGACAGTCTCGACCAAAGCTCGGACATGAAGTCCCCTGTGCTCCTTTCTCCCCTCTGCAAGCAGAGCCCACAGCCAAGCTCACATCTAACTAGCTCACCATGGTTGCCACAGGAACCCACAGGGTTGCTTAGCTTTGCAAAGCAATCATCTCCCCATCTCTAGAACAAATTAAATCAAACAAACAAAAACATAAGGCAAAGGAAAAGCAAGAGGAAGTAGCACTGCACATACCTCTGTCTCCCAGAGTGTGTTCAAAATAGATATGCAAAGGTTAGTTGTGCTGCTCAACATGCAACTGAAATGCGCTCGATGCTGCAGTTTGCCACCTGTATCTGCACTTCTTATACCAGCTTTTCCCTGGTAATTTCGCCTTTCCCTGTAATTTTACCTACCTAAAGAGGAACTAATTAAACACAGAAAGGTCCACTGAAAGGCATGCAATTATGACATCCTAGTACAATCTATATCATTAGTTGCCTGTAAAATAAGGTCAGTATCTGCATTAAGAAACTAGTAAGAATTATGCAAAGATTTTATCATATTGCTGCATAACTTCTGGGTAAGCCACGATATCTACACACTTCAATCTACAACTGTACAACAGATACTACTTCCTTTTGTTAAAAGGTATCAGGCAACAACCTCCCCAATGGTTGACTATCTTAGGAATTATTATAGGCATTAATTAAAACAGCATCTTTCTTCCTCACAAATTTTTTTTTTTAATGCAATGAATTTATACCAAGATCGTTTTTTCTTAAATTAAAAAGCTGATCAAACTAAACAACAGAGTGCCACTCTTACTGCAGACTAGTACTGTCAACATGGATATTTGAAACGTAACAGACCGTTCTCAAATAGGTATTTTCCACATAGGAAATCCCTAAAGTATTTCAAGGGATCATATACTATAAAGATTACAGATCCAGAAGAAGACAAACAAAAACGGAGAATAATGCTTTGCACATACTTATCACAAAGTGCTATCTAAATAACAATGGCTACAATAATAAAAAAGCATAGTGCCTACTTCTTTCTGAAATCCTGAACCAAGTCAGCCCATGAACAGGAGCTCTTGTACAAATATTTGACATGCTATGCAATGGAACACTCTGGCAACAATGGTTCGGTGTTAATTATTGGATGTAGATAGCAATATTTCTACTACTACTATTACTACTACTACTGATAAAAAAAGAGAATTTGTCAGCTTTTTTAAAGGAATCTTTTAAGTTTTAAAACAATTTTTACTTTTGCATAGCTAGCTAGTTGAGGCCATAATTGCAAAGAAAACTATTCCTATCTGTTAAACACACAAAAAAAGCACATAAAATACAGAATAACATATAGTATTATGTTTTTTTCAGTATTTCCTATGCTTAAGGTAGACAGGTTTTAAAAATGACATCTTTATTACCTTTAAGCATTGTTCTTCCTGTTGATCCTCCAAAGACACTTAGAAGACCACTTCTTGCTCCCAATGATGTTGTTGCTTCTAGTAAAGCACCAGTTATATAGTTAGAGAGTGCAGTCCTCTGTAAAGTGGCACGATATCGAGAGTGAGCTCCTGTCTCACATGGCTTTACACAAAAGCCAACACCTTTGCATATACAGTCTGTGTCTAAAGTTGCGAGCTCTCTCAGGAGATGAGGAAAATATTCAGAAATATCTTTTGCTCCTTCTTCTCTCACTGTACAAAAGATCTGTGAAGAATACAAAAAGATAAAGTGTTATTTCATTTCCTTAGACTAATACACTGAACATTGAGACTAGCACAAGTTGCGAAGTTCAGCAGCCTCTGCAAGAAACCCAAGGTTAGAACACTGCATATCTGTATTATTCCTAAAAACCCAAACTCATCTGCAAAGACTTTGCATGGGATTCCCAAATTGGCTAGTAAAAGAAAATTGCATTCTAGCTTTAAAACTACAGCTAAAAGCATTCTAATGGAAATTGCTTTTTTTAAGGATCATCATAACAAAGTTGTGCCACATCAATAAATCTGGTCAACACCTAAAACAAAAAATATACATGAAATTATTTAGAAGACTATACAGTATTTTGCATTCACAGTAAAACCTTAGACATTTTAGAAGCAGAAACACAGGTCCATTCAAGCACTGAGCCTTTTCTTGCTGAGTGCAGAGTGGCCTTATGAACAGAAATGGATTTAATGACTGCAAACGATCTCTCAGAAGGTTCTGGTGTGTCACATTCATTGTATTACTCCCAGCCTATATACAGGTCCTCTATGTAATATTGGTTATTATATACTCTTTTTCCAATATTTGTGCTCACACACTAATGAACTTCAGGCTGTGGCTTAGCAACTAAGTAATGTTTGCTTATTTAACAGAGCCTAATGATCAAAGCAAGAATCTGGAAGAAATTTTTTTTCATTTATTATACAAAGAAAGACTTGATTCTTTGCATTCTTGCAGGCTGGTTACTGATTACCATCAATAATTTTTTTTCAATGGTCTGTATTCTGTAATTAAAGAGGGTAAACCACCAAATTAAAAATTAAGATAGAAAGAGGAGATTTTAACAGCGACCAGCTCCTGAGGCAACTTTCACCAGGTTGACCTCCAAACATTGACTCATACATATCACTGGCATCCTATCAGTTAAATTGTCACGTCATTTTAAAACTCAGTATTTATTCAATCTCACAAATAACATATGTTATTATTAATAAAAATATACAAACTTTGCCCAATCAGGGAAAGCCACTGAAAATAGAAGTACTTGCTCGAAATTTTTCAAAATCTAACTAACATTTTGGAGTTTCCTTTCTGCCATAACACAGGAAATTAAGTCTTACGCAGCATTCAATAAAAACCAGATTTCTCATCTTAGCTTTATTAATTTAGAGGAATAATTTTTGGGAGGTGACTAGTCAAATTTTCATTTAAAATATAATACTGTGTTAAATAGTAATACAATTCAGTTATTTTAAACAAACACTGATACAGTTACTAAAATAGAATAAAAAAGAAATTTTGCATTGTGACTACGACTTATAGAATTCAATTCTGCTAGAAATATATCTTTGGTAATTTCATTACTCAATGCACTACTGAGATATGTTTTATTTTCCTGAAGGCTTTTCAAAATTTAGTTTGTATTTCAGTTTCCTAAAGCCTAACAGGCTTATTGAAATACTAAACTTTTACTTGAGTCTCTCTTTTTTTTTGTATACATATTTGTATACATATATGTATACATATACTATTTTGTGAACTCTTACTCTCTCCATGTGAACACTGCTCACCTGCTCCTTAATTCAGAAGAAAACTACATTCCTAGAATGCACGTTACCAGGACAGAGTATATGCCCATAGCCCAGCTACCTTTTCCTTAGCAAAGAGTCTGCAGGGCACGGTGGGATAAGCATAATACCTACCTTTCCAAAAGGTGTGCTGTAAACAGTGAGCCTGTAGCACACACAGATTTCAAGTGTGTCACAGATAGCAGACATAATTAGTCTTTTTAGCATGGTAAAAAAATATTTGGATAATGAAAATAATTTGACTTCTCAAAACTGCAGTTACCTTCCAAAATATTTTTAAAATTGTGTTCTGCAACTTATAAAGTCATATTCTGTTGCCTACACTGTACTAAAATTTCTTTCAGCTGCCAAAGCAAAGAAACCATTTGTTGACAGAAATAGGCGACAGTGTTTTTCTGGAGAGATTATATATAGAATAACGGTGTTAATCTCTATTGTATAAAGTAGACTTCAGGGCACTAGCTGTCTCCAAAGACTCTACGCTTCATATAACATTTTCAAATACTGTCTGTTTTGATGTGTTAAAGCACTGAATGTGTTACTTTTCTGCACAAAAATGAAGCTGGAAAAAGAGAGGAAAAAAAAAAAAACCCACCCTTAAACCACCAGAACAGAGGCATATCCATAAGGTAACTAATAAGGAAAATCACCTGTCAGTGATGCCCCATCCGATAGGAAAGATTAATTCTGCCCAGGAGATGAAAAGGTTGATTCCAAATGAGGGCTTGCAGGTCACCCCGACAGAGGTGGTTATATTGATCTATATCACCCATTTTCTCTACCAAAGCATGAATGCTCGAGCTAAAAAGGTGAAACAAAAAGAGTGAAGTGCAGCATTAAACAGAGCTTTCCTGTCAAATGGCAATGATTCGGAAAGCTGTATCACTCCAGAATGACTTTTGCCAAATTAAAGGTTTCAAAGCCACCTGCAGTCTAATACTGAAGTATCTCACATAACACATATCTCCTGGGCAGTATCTCCAAAAGAAAGTGGGCAATACGTGCATCAAAAGGTCTTGAAATTCTTCACAATTCTTTTCAGATAGTCAGTGCAGCAGCATATACTGATTTGATTACAGCGAGGAATCTACAGTGAGCTTTATTATGTATACAATGTAATGAGCATACATGTAAATGGTGAAAATATGTGGAACTACAGGATCTCAAGATCTACTTTAAAAAATAAAAAGCATGCATTCTAATACACTTTTTATATATATGTTTTTTAACATGGTACTTGAAAACAAGAAGTGAGCTTAAACCAGCTAATCCCATGGATTACTAGCACTTAAATGAGTATCCTCTGGCTTTACGACATTTTTAACTTCTCCTTAATTCTAAAGTCTCAGAAGAGTTTTTGATGGTGATTAAAGAGAATGCAAGTTACTTCTAAAAGAAAATTTCCTAGGGGACTGCAAAAGAAAAATGAAAAATTTACATTGAAATAAAAATTAAATTCAGGTAGAATTCCATCCTTATAGCCCTACAAATAAGTCAATATTTGGGAAATAAATGGAAACAAAACGTATCTTTCAACTATTATGGATAACATACCTAATGTTATCCAACAATCATAAAGAACTTTAAAATACTCAGTTTTGCTTCACATATTTAAAATGGTATTTCCAAGTTAGCTTATTGATAATCTTCAGGCAATAAAACTTTACAACTACAGAAACATTTTTAAGATATTCATTAAAAACAATTGGAAAAACAAGTCAAACTGGTCTTGATATTACTTAGATTTTCTCTTTTATCTTGTTTTCCTACTTAATCATCTCCAGAATTAAAAGTTGTATTTTCTCCCTTTACCAAACCATGCTATTGAAGGTTTACTACACAAAAGCAATAGAAACCTTATTATCGTGGCCATTCTTATCATTACAGTACATGACTGATATTCTTCCCAAATGAAGCTGGAGTTCACAGGTGCTGATAGACTGGAAATATTAGATAAAGAAGTTCACAAAAATACCTTCTCTGATTTCTTACTTAAACTTACATTTTTTCTTTCTGTTATTACAGTGTTCTAGTTGTTTTTCTTTGCATATTTTTTTCAGCTTCGGGTTATTTAGCTTAAAACTTCAGGGCCTTTTGCCAAACATCTACAAGCTGTTCCTTGTGCATGAATTCCAGAAAAAGGACTTAAGAACAGATCAAACATTCCTTTGAGCTAGTATATAGGCTTAATATCTCTAACTTTATAACAATAATAAGGAATAAGTGTACTGAAAAGTTCAAAGTAAAGATCAGACATGCATAAGTATGTTTATTACCACTATGCTATAAAAGTATGAGAAAATAAGCCATAAAGAAACCTCAACAAATAATGCATCATTTCTGACAGGTAGCTGTCCAAACTCTTTAAAAAGCCTCCACTGACTTGTCTTGAAGGCTTGAAGTGAAACACTGAAATAGAAGGGGAACATATACACTCAGTTTGTACTATGCATTCTATTCTGAATTCTAGTTTTATCTTGAGATCAGACTAGAATGAAGAGATAAATTTATTTTAATCAGATCATGTGAACAGTTGTAGTATCTTGGAAATCATGCCCAAGAACACATATTTATCCTATAGCTATCTAAAATTATATCTCTAAAACAGATTATGACACAAGCTTGCTTCAAGAAAAGTTCTTTGGAAATGTGGACAGGAAGAAAGAAGCAAGGGAACCAGGGACAGAGAAATGTGACTGGAAACGTCAGGTGATGCAAAAGGTTCACAATGTGAACAGATGAGAAGGTCAGTAAAGAGGTCTAGTAAAGAGTGGTCATGGTTTCTCCACTCATCCTCCTCACGTGCTCCTGCCTCTCTCATGCGTCTTACACTTGTCCTACCCCCTCCATGAGCAGGACACCTCCATCTGTCCTGCAACACCAGGCATTAAGCTGTGGATAAGACACCTGCTGACCCCTGAAGAATACTCTGGCAGCCGAGGAGCTAAACCCAAATGACGAGTGCAGTAATCTGAAGCAGAGAGAGGATGAGAGGATAACTGAGCAATCTCTGCACTACTCTGCTGTTCCAAGAACAAAACACCTTCTACCTTCCTCGCCTCCCACCCTACTCATCCCCACTCCCTTGAAAAAGGAGATGCTGAGGACAAAACTTACTTAGTTCACTTGGTTACAGCTAAAAGCAGCTCTTCTGCCATCCACTGAAAGGGCCTGCTACTGATCTGCGATTTAAATTCAGGTCATGCTTACTTGTATTGAATTCTAAAGCATTATAGAATAATTATTGAGGTGTTTTTCATCTAGCTCACACTTTCAAAGAAGTATTTTCTGCTCCACAAAAATAGAAATGAATACCATTATTTTATATAATGAATTCACTAGTTTCCATTTGGCATTATATAGTTTGAATAAAGCCTAGATGTAAAAAGACACTTGGCTGGAACTGTACAG